AGCAGGTTTGAGCAGGAAATATGACCTACGCAAGCTGCGTCGGGAGGTGGCCACCATGAGCAGTTCTGTCGCCAGGTCTGCCAGGCGAGAGTCCTTCTTCAAGCCCTCCTCCTCCTCCAGGAAGGGGTTTGAGGGCGCAACGGCCTCATCCTGTGGGAACTGGTAATCCTTGAGCCCTGGGGGGAAGGTGAGAGTGTCAGTGGGGCAGGGTGCCAACCAGCATGTGTGAGCAGGGCGGGCAGTGTGTGGCCTCACCATGCAGCACGAGCACACGGAAGGGCACACGCAGGAGCTTGATGGGGGAGTTGACGCGCTGGCAGCCGATGGTCAGCTTGTACACGTACTTCACGGACTGTCCCCGGAAAGAGGGAGGGCCATCCACGGGCAGTGTCTCACAGTATGAATCTGCAAGAAGTGCAGAAAAGTTACTTTCCAAAGCCAAAAGGAAACTCCTGCAGCTCTAATTTGCAGGCTCCCTGCACTGACGGTTAGGACCAGTGGCAGGGCTGAGCTAGGGACTGTGCCTGGGTGCTTTCTGCCACCTCCTCTTTCCCACAGCAGACCAAGCATATCCCTGGCTCGCCTGCACCAGCGCACTGCTCTTCACATCACAAGCCCACACACTGCTTCCAGCACATACAACCACACACACAAACTCTGCCTCAGAAAAATGTGAAAGATGCGAAATCCACGAACACAAACACACGAGAGCTAAACTTACTCATCATGAGTTCAACCTGAATTTGCCACTGTGCACTCCTTCACCCACTGCTCTCACAGCACAGTCACATGCTGCAGTATCCTCAGGGCTCTGCCCAAACAGGTACTGATCAAAACCTCATGCCTCTCTTAATACTTGCTTCACACAAATCCCAAACTCAGCCACAAAAGTTACTTTCTTCCTGTGCTTTTCTCTGAAGCACCAAGTCTAAATGGTCAAGAAACAACTCCAAGATCTTCACAGCAAGTTGTGGCATATCCCCCTTGACAGACAGACAACTTAGACCACAAAGCCTCTGACTCTGAGACCTCTGAGATGCTGGGGCCCAGCTTACACCACATTCAGCCCTGTCAGAGCCTCTTGGCCACCACACAAACCCCAATGCCTCCTGACACAGTGCAAACACTTCTGCTGCTTTCCCAAACCACACGCTGTATAACAAGAAAGGCACAAACAGTGAACTGTGGAAACTCTCCACCTCTCTGGCTTGCCCACCGTAATGCAGATACGCCCTGTCAGAGGAAGGGCAGCATCCTGCTCTGAAACCACAGCTCCTTCTCCATGTCTGGCACACCCTGAACACTGAGGCTTAGATTAAAAGCTAGGGTTACATTTTAAATATAACTTCTAGATTTAAAATAACAGGACTGGAAAAAAGAAAAAAGCCTGTGCGAGTGTCCACAGGATGTCACACCTTAAAACACAAGCCTGTCTTGCTGGACCAGGGCGTGGATAAAGCAGAGAACTGTCCTGACAGGGTGGAAAATCAGGTATTTCCAAGGAAGGAAGCAGACTGCTGTAACCTCCTGTACCAGACTTAACAAAAGTGCTCACAAAGACCTTCATGCCCAGTGAGGATAATAGCAGCAGAGACCACTGC